AAAATGTCCTAATAAATTCTTATATGGCAATTCTAATATAAATGTATATCCAGATGTATATTAACTATTTTAAAATAGATTTTTGGCATGATAAAGTAATAGCAACATGTATTTCCTGAATACAACCCAGCACCTGCCAGTGATGGATGCTGTGTCTGCAAAACCTCTGCCACTGTCAAGAAAATAATCATTTCAACTTCTTATGGGTAGATAATACAATCTTAATAACTATGAATTTGAAGGACATTCTTTTGCATGTCAATAAGTTGAACCTTGCACTGTTTCCCTGCCTTACACTAGGGATTAGAAAGTCCCTTTATGTAGTAAACAGTGGCATGATGAGCCAGTTATTAATGGCACTTCTTTCTTTCTTGTGGTCTGGAGTAACATGTTCATATTTGCAGAGCTTTCATACTTACTATGCTTTCTAAGCCTCATAAGGCAGATTGTTTTGATTTTTATGTCAGTGATCCAAAAATAGATGGAAGAAATATAAAGCAAGATACAGAAAGTTTATCTTCCAGAATCCAGAAATAAATAATAGCAAATGATAGTCCCAGAAACATTGGATTTTTCTCCTATGTCCTTTTGCTCTAAAATTCAGATTGGTTTCCAAGGCTGAGATACTTCTAAGTTTAATGAGCAAAGAATATTAAAATTTCAAGCATTAATATGTTTACTTATTATACTAAGAAAATAATTTGTAAGTTCTTAGTAGATTATAAAAAGGACTATAAATATGGATTGTATTCTATAATTAATTGAATTCTTCCTCTCTGTTAATAGCTAGCAACTGACAAATATAAGCACACTGGTAGAGCTTCCCAAGTGTGTATGTCCTATTCATTTTTGGTATGACTAAACTCAGCAGAAGTATAACAAGGTAGCAATACCTTTCCTTACAGAAAATTAGTATAAAGTAGAATGCATAGACTACTTTATCCCACAGCATTTAGAATGGGCTCTAAACTGACTCTGCACCAAATTCTATACTTGCTTGATAAGGAGCATAAATACCCACTAAAGAAAAATATGAATTTGAGTGCAGTAATGTCATTGGTTATGTTTGCTAATTCTCTACTTTAATGTTTGAATCACAAATTGGGGTTTTTCTAATTATTTTCTCAGAAATACACTCTTAAGTAGAATTTGGTACAACAGCACTGACTGGCTTTCCAAACACTATATAAAAGATTATTGATCAGATCCACTAAGTATAAAAAACACCTCAGACTTACCTTTGAGCTCTAGAAAATATGCGAGAACCTGTTGAAATACTGCTCTGGCCCAGAGTGCAATTAGTCTGATGGGAAGAGGGGAGCGCAGGGACAATAAATGTGGCAGTGTGACACCTGTCAGGAACGCGCCGTACAGGTGAGGTGAGGTGGGGTGGGGCGGGGCAGCCCTTCACTGCACCCAACAGCACGTCTGGGAACCAGCCTGACCGACTTCACCGCTGTCATGACCGAGCTCTGTCATTACAGAGTCCACAGAAATTGCAGTATTTATGGTAAAGTGGGTAGGCAGTGCTTATTGCCCAATCCTTTGGAAGTCTTTGAACTCGTATTTCAGAAGGGTGACTGTTTTCTGTAAACTATAGAAACTATTGTTCCAGGTACTGTGCAACTATTAATTTAACAAAAGATAGCTTTTTATTATTGCAGAGTTTCTTAGGGTACACTTTGCTAGATGAAAACTGGAAAAGGTGTGTCTTCTATAAAATAAAGCAGCAAAATGAGTTCTGTTAAGAAAAACTTGCTTTTAGAAATGGATCTGATCCCATCTCCAAATATGTTCTCAGCTGCAAAAATTTAAGATAATTGAAATCCAAATTTTCTGAATTTATCAGTTGTCATTAATTTTTGCTTTAGAATATATAACCAACTAGGGATCTGAATGTTTCAACTCTTACTCCTCACTTTAGGTTTTATATAAACAATACTGGTTTAAAATAAGAATGAGGAAGTCAAGTGTATCATATATAACTTTTAATATGCTGGTAAAGTCAACCTGTGTGATTTTTTTTTTTAGTTCTTTATGTATGTTTATTCTAGGCTGGTACGTGGTGAAGAGCAACTCAGAAATGTTCCAGTATTTTGTAACTGTTTGTGTGGAGTGCTCTGAAGTTGTCTGTTTCCACTTCAAATTTTTAAGGAATCAAGTGCAAATATTATTTCATAACTTATCATCGAAATAAGTGTTGAGGATATGGCATATACAGGAGGTGTTTCTACGTGAGCAGCTAGTAGTGTTTTCTTGAAAATACTACAGTGGAGAAGAGGAAGGTTTTCTGTGAAATGGATCAAGTTCCAGCCTTTCTAATATGCATTTTGGGGAAGCAACTTATTTGTGTGGCATGAGGTGGGGTGGTCTGTGGGAGGAGGGAGGACAGAGTCTGATACCATGGATTTGGGGTTTTTTTTGGTTCTAGCATTCTCTGCAATGTGTATCAACAAGCTTCCAACTTGTATTTATTGCTCTGTCTGGGTGAACATGCATCTAACAGATTGACCATGAGATCTGAAAACAAGCACCACAAATTTGTGTCCAACTTTGGATCTTATGCAGCATTAACCAAATGGCAAGTGATATACTGGGGTCAACAGTATATTTCACACCGGCATGCATGCATTATGGTGTTAAGCCTTTCTGATGATTTTTTAAAGAGAAAGATTATTTGAATTTATATACAACATTTAAAAATAGGGTGATCATAAATATATAGACTGCAATTCTGTTATCTATTACAGTGGTATGAAAATCATACCACTCAGGTGCTGCCCTCAGCCTCAGCGTGGGGCTTGAGAAGGTGCGTGCTCTCTCTCTTGTATTTATTAGCAGTTTCATTCATCTGTTAGGAAAAGTAAAACCTGTTTACCTGAGTGACTTAACGCCTAATGGAAGATGCTCTGTTTGTGAGTCAGTTCTTAGCAAAGTGTCGTGCACCTGCAGCGTGGTGCCAGGATGCTGGTGCTGAGTGGTGGCCCG